CGACACATATGCCAGGACGCATGGAACAGCTCTGGGCCCGTTTCCAGTCAGAAAACGAAACTATTTCGAGCCAGCGTGGCAGGCGTCGCGGAGCGGTGGAGACGGGTGAAGGGGTTGTGAGGAGAGGAAGCAGACTTGCGAGAGAAGGGCAAGTAGTTGCGATAAAGAGAGGGGAAGATTTGGTGGGAGGGCGACCTTGAAAACCAAAACACACGAGGAGGCAGGTTGGGTAGCTTGCTTGAAATATTCTCAAAACTTCCACGTAGAAAAACTTGGAAAGAGTGCCTGCGTGCGCAAAAGTCAAAGCATGGCCACCTGGATTGGTGTGCACAGCGGTGTTCGAAGAATCAGCCGCCGTGGTGAAAAAATCGTTTTGTTGCGCCGGTGGGTTTGCGTGGCCTCCCAAACTTCCATTAACAGCCGTTTTCGCGCTTCCGCACGCACGTGGAAGGCATGCTGAGTTGAGTGCGAAGTGGGGGAGAACAAGTCCTAAACACGAAACGAATCACAAGTTATCAGAGTCGGTGGGGTAGCGTAGACGCGGGCACTAGATGCAGACTATCGGATAAAGTCAGTGGCCGACGATGTTGGCAAATGGTCTGCTCACTCCAGGCCGGCGACGCCAGCGACAGTACCAGAGATCAAAAACAGTGTAGAAGGCCGACCGGTCTTCGAAATATCGGTGGCAGTGTGCAAACACGGGCCTCGTCTGGTGATGTGGGGTGCTCAGAGTAGTGGGGGGACAAAGGGGTGCGCAACAAAAAGTAGTCGGGGCATGGAGGAAGGAAACAACTTTCATTCTTCTATGGGTTGGGGAGAGCGGCAGCTATAGGGTCGCGAAGGCGCGTTCGGCGTTTAACAATAAGAATGTATGGTTTCCCCGGTAGTTGCCAGACTGCTGACTCCGTTCGCTGTAACCGATCAGCGACGCTCGGAGACATTCGTTATAAGTGCGATTTTGTGCCATTGAACCAATGTATATTTTCATGATTCCGCGGGTATTGTTCGTTTTAAGCAAAAGTTCTTTTTAAGTGGGGCCTTTATATGTGTGCTCGACCGTACTACTAAATTGTTCAGTGTATTGAAAGATTTGTATGTAGTATTGACTTTGTACAACTACCTGTTCCTGCATTCACTGACTCACGATCTGTGCTGTTTAGTTTATGATGTATGACCCCTCTCACATAATGTTCCAAATGGGAACCTGGGATGTACTTGAATAATAAATAAATAAAAAACAAGGAAAAAATAAGGATTGCGCTAAAGCTGATGATCATGCAATACTTGACTGTTTGTGGGAACTTTGTGGTTACATACCGGGCTGTGCATGATCCTCTCGGATCCTCTAAAAGACACTGTTCATTATTACATTGAATGGTCTGTCTCTTTTAAGTACTATGTTTGCACTAACAAAAACAACCCGTGGATGACAAGAGAAATCATTCATCTTCACTGTAGGCTAAAACAAGCAAAAAAAAAACCCCATTAGTGTAACATCTCAAAAGTCAGCCTCCCTTCTAAACTCTCCGGCATCAAATTTCGGTATTTTGCCCATTCATTGCCTGAATTTTCTATTGGATTGGAGAAACTTTATTTGTGCCTGTAGTTGGGCGCTCGCGCGTCCTGATGGGGGCCTACGTCATTCTCAGTGTTGCCGTTACTTGGCGCAGGTCTCCGCTCGCCATTGCCGGCTCGCTGGGTCCTTGCCTTTCGAGCGCCCCGAGGACCTGCTGAACAGCTCAGAGCTGTTCTTTCTGGTTGTAGCTCTTCACGGCCACCTCGAGCTGCGACCCATTGTTCTTGATCTTGCTTCCTCTGGGTGTTCGATGCAGTCCCACAAGATGTGCATGTGATCTGCTGTCTCCCTGCGGCAGACCTTGCACTTGTTGGTCGGGTATGTCTCGGGGTACATACGGTGCATCAGTGCCGGGCTCGGTAGTGATTCATTCTCAGTAGTACCGCCTCCGCTCGACCCAGCCGCGGGTGCGGGAATGGTAAAGTCCTGCGAGCCATGCGGTAGGCTTTCGGGATGACGTTGTAGTCTGCCTCGTGGTCCTTGGCTTCGAACCACGTTGCACGGTCTGTCGCCGGGCGCGGTCGGTTAGCGCTCGCGCCGCTGTGTGCGCCGTCTCATTGTGGTTGTCATTACGTTCCGACATATCGCCCACGTGCGCTGGGGACCACTTAATCCCTATTTGTCTGTCTTGTAGTTTGGCCGCACTCAATATACGCTCGGCCTCTCTACAGATTTGGCCTTTGGCGAAGTTTCGCGCCGCCTGTCTAGAGTAACTCAGCACTGTGTGGCAGGCTGTGTTGGCGACGGCCAGAGCGATGGCCACCTCCTCTGCTTGTTCAGCTCTGGAATTTTTCTCGCTCGCTGCCATCCTTCTTGCACTGGTCGATGCCTTGATGACGACCGCTGCGAATGTGTTGTGTTGGTATTGCACTGCGTGTGCGTCGTTGGCATGGAGATCGATAATAGCCCTGGCCCCCCCTGCTTTTCTTTCCTTGTTCTGAGGATTCGTGTTCTTTGAAATGGGGTCCGTTCTAATCTGGCGTCAGACCTCTCCGGGGACAGGGAGCTTTATATCTGCTACACTCAGGCATTCTATTCCCAAATCCCCCAGTACTTTGCTACCGGCTTTGGTTGTGAACAGCCGCTCCAGTTGAGCGGTTTGTTGCGAAGTCTGGGCCAGTCGCCGGTCGGCGACTGGCCCAGACTTCATCACAAACAAGGCGCTTAAGAACCTCGATGACGGCTCGATTGAGAACCTAGTAAAATACTTCAACAAGTGCTGGAGATAGGGCACACTGCCGAAGCAATGGAAAACAGCCAAACAAACAAGGTTAAGGTCATGCAGGGCCGCGCAGACCTCCTCGACGTCGATATCACGATCGAGCTTCGCCTTGGGTAGGCCGCCGAACGGCAGGTGTTGCTCGGTGGGTGTACTTGGCAGGTATTTGTTGTTGATGCGCCTGATGGCTTCATCGGCGCCGTGTGCAGAGAACGCACAATGTATAGCTTGGCGAGCCTGTCTCTTTGATGTGACTTGGTCTTGGTTTTGTATAGCAGGTGCCGCAACAGGTTCCACGTATTCCCACTGTGCATCTGCCCGTCTGCTGTGTTGCAGATCTTGTTCCACTGTTGCACACATAGCACTTGGCAGTGATCTTCAATTGCACAGTTGAGCTCTGCTGCCTTGTTTCTCGGACTGCTGTATAGCCGCTGTTTTTTCCATCGATTGAGTATCGACTGTTTGGTTTCGATGAGATGCGCTAGCCGGCTGTGTACTTTGTCGATCTCCGCGTCTCTTTCAATTTATTGGGTCGCATCGCGTACACTCTTGGTGATTCCGGGAACCCGCGAGTCAATGTCTTCGATCTCGTTGTCATCGTCTCTCTCCTGGTTTCTGGTGTCTCGGAAGGCATCCCAGTCTATCCATTTGTGTGTTCTGTTGCTGATGTCGTTGTGTTCTGGTATGCCGTCTTCAACGATGGTGTGGTCGCTACCAAGGTCGGTCCCCGTGTTTCTTTACGTGATCGCACCCCAAACATCATTCTTGATGAACATGAGGTCCGGAGTGGTGTCGCATCTGTGATGAGGGTAAAGTCGAGTTCCGTGGTGTCTTGGTGCAGGTCACGGCCATTTGCTGTGTACTTGTTGTAGCCCCAGGCAGAATTCATCGCGTTGATATCGCCACACGCGATCAGCGTGTTGTGACCCGCTGCAGTGCTTGCTCTTTGCAACAATGTCTTAACCTCTCTTTTTTTTTTTTTTTTTGATGGGTTGCTGTACACGTTGGGTGGGCAGAAACAGGCCTTTCTTCTCTTCTTGCCCGGGATGATTTCTGTGAGAGTGTGCTCGATCTTGATAGTGTTGTGCAGCTTGTGTTCAATGAACGTGAGTCCCTTCCTGACCAGGGTGCACAGGCCTCTGCCGGCAGGCGGGCCTTTGTCCACTAGCCGAGGAGTGTCGTTGTCACGGTGAGTGTCTCTTGTAGTAGTGTCACGTCCGGCTGGATGACTGACTTTTTCCTTCCGAAGCCGCGACAGTTCCACTGCCACATTGTTATGCCTGTTGCTCATGTGCTGGAGGCCTTGATTGCGTCGCCGTGTACGGTGTTTCTTGGTTCGGTGGCTGTAGTGTGAGTAGGGGCGCATACATCGGGTGCCTCACGATTGGCTGCAGGATCCTTTCAAAGTGGGCAATTCTGTTCGTGTTCTCGGCTTTGTAGGCATCCACTGTTGGTTTCATTGCTGTTACAGATGTGATGTTTGCCATGATTAGCTCTTTGATTTACGTTAATCTCTCTTCGAATTTTGTTTCGAGGTTGCGTTGCATTCATTTTTTTTTCGCATGCGCTTGGCCTTGAAGGCTCCCTTTTTCAGGACTGGTTCCCCTAGGACTGTCTGGTTCCCCTAGGACTGTATAAGAACGTGTTTGTTGTTGCAGAAAATTTCGACTAAGGCAATTTTTCTAGATATGCGAGTTCGAGTTAACAAGGTATTACTGTAATACCAACATTCAAATTGTGATTCAGTGATGGATGCAATTATCTTTTTTTTTTCGCATATGCAATGAAAAGTCATGCCTCGCGTTGAGTTGTGGTCGTGTTAAAGTCAAGTAGGTACAGTACTTTCAGTAACTAAAAAGGCTTGGCATTATTGTCTGTTCTCATTAATATTGTGTCTAACAAAGAAAGAAAAAGAGGTCCTTAAGATTGGTGTTCCACCGCAGACATATAGGCTCTCCTGTGGAGCCAGTTTTTTCATGACGCCCAATTTACCCTCCAAAAAACAGGAACGCGATTTATGTTTTTCAGACTCATGAAAAAGACTGTTATTTGTGCATGTAGTGAAAATCTTGCTTTTGGTGGAAGAACTATTCACCTACTGCAGTGGCAATCTGAAAAGTCACTAAACTTTTTTTTATTTTGCTTGAAATTCGAACATTGGTGCGAACCAAGTGGTCAAAATGCTCTTTCTCGTTTCTGGTGCAGCAAAAGAGGCCGAGCGGAAGGCGAAGGCAGAGAGCATCAACAGAGCACTAGGGAAGAAGACGTGACCACAGCTGCAACTGCTATTCTATAAACTTGCCCTCTTTTAAATATGTTTTCTGCTGTTACGAAAGATGCTCCTTTGCTATCCCATCTCTGTGTGTCGCTCCCCTCTCTCACTGTTGTGAGCTCTCCTTAGAACTCTGCGTGTCAGTTTGTTTTGATGAAAGTGCTCATCACTTAAGTAAGCTTCTTGTGTCATTGGCCACATTTCACATGCTAAACCCAGATTTGGCATAGCTCGAAAACCTTGGCTCAGAGTGTGAGCCCTGAACTCATCTGTATTTGGAAGTGATGTATGTGAAAAATGATGTAACAGGATTGAAAGAATTTTGAGATTTCAGGGACAAATTCTGTAAGTTTGCGCACAATAAAAGAGTGATTTCGCTGTTATGCCAATGTGACGTGCATGTTTTATCGTTACTTGTTCTCCCACATATGTGCATCTAGATTTTTCTCTGGCAGGGGTGTGACTTGACATTGGAAGTTTTTTAGTGGCATGTAATCAAACATGGGACAGGCAGTTGGCGCCATAGACTCCGAAAAACGCCAGGCCTGTGCGGAAGGAGCAGCACAGTCACAGCGGAAGCTTGAAGAGCAACCTTTCAGAGCCTTTTCTGAACTCTCATTGAATAACTGACGCAAGCACACTTGCTTGATACCTACTACGGCATTAAGAATAAAAATTTTTTGGTAGTAGGCCGGCATTTGCAATGCTATTTTTCGTCATTCTTCTGAGAAGCATGGTATCCGCTAAACACTTGAAAGGAATTTTGTGCCAATTCCTCATGCAGTGGCTGATGACAATGAGGAATTATGCCTAAAGTGGGTATGTGCCACAGTAATAGGTGATAAGTACAAGCTTTTGTAGTGGGCTGGAGCATTGGACGCTATTCGCATTGTGCGACGGCTGCTTGTTCTTTCGCTGTTTTAGAGCACTTTATAAGTCCTATTAACGTGATTGCTTTCTCAACATGAACCCTGCAGGGGCGCTTGCGCAAGTAGGCGTTTGGTGTGTAGCGACACCACGGACCCGAGCTAATGGGGGAGTTTTGGCTCCCTCCCAGGCCTAGCCGTGCGTGGCTGAGCCGTGTCTGGGGAAAAGGGGATCCTGGGGGTTGAGCCGACGCTGGGTGATTGGACCTTTAAGGCTCCCCAGCAGAGGCAACACACCCCTTTGGTCCCGGCTTCACGTAGACGGCACCCTTGGGCTCACTCACCCAGGGGAAATCGGCAGTCACCTTTTCCTATCTCTCTTCCCTACAACTTCGTCTTTATCTTTCACTTTTAGTCTGTCCTGTCTACTTCTCTCTTCTGTTTACTTCCAATTTTCCTGGTGGCAAGGGTTAACCTTGTGTAGTTACTCAACCTTGAGTAGTTATATTTGGTTATAGTGGCAATATACGGCTGGCGTCTGCAGCCTTATGCTATTAAGTGCTTCAGCGTCCCCTGGTTGGACTCCATGGTGGGTGGTCGCAATTGCTGCCGAAAAAAAGTACACTATTATGGGAACACCTGCATTTCCCCGTCTCCTAGATTGTCTTCCGCTTAAGAGGGGACGCACTGATGAAATATCAGTTTTCAGCCAACCCAGACAATGCTTTTCAAATTTCCATGTTGTGCACAGCGAAAATCCAACAAAACAAGCCAGAGCCATATCTCCATTTCTTGTTGCCGAATCTCTGACAGAGGTCTTTGGCCCAGGATACAAGGTTACAAAGATGGCTAGCTGAGACCTTCTCTTTGAGCTGCCTGAAAAACATTGCTATGAAAAACTTGGCAGTCTCGTAGCATTTGGTAATATCCCAGTATCTGTTTCACCTCATAGATCAATGAACACCTCACGCGGAGTTGTTTCAGAAGCAGACCTTCTTGAAATGTCTGAACAGGAACGGCTTGAAGGGTGGAAAGAGCAAAATGTCACGAATGTGAAACGAATCGTCATCAGACGTGACAACAAAGAAATACCTACCAAACATTTAATACTCACTTTCGCATCTAGCACATTGCCTTCATCTATAGACAGAGGCTACATCAAACTCTTTGTCCATCCCTACATTCCCAATCCAAGACGGTGTTATAAATGTCAACGATTTGGTCATGGCTCGCAGAACTGCCGGGGTCAGGAAACTTGTGCAAGATGTGGTAGCCACGGCCACCCATCTGATAACTGTGTTACTATGCCTCACTGTGTGAATTGTAATGGGGGACACGCCGCATATTCGCGTTCGTGTCCTAACTGGAGGAAAGAAGAAGAAATAATCACTCTTAAAGTCACGGAAAATATATCATTCAAGGAAGCTCGCAAGAGGGTCTCTCCTTTTTACAACACATCTTATGCTGATGCGGCGCGTCGGGGGGCAGCGTCGCACCAGCCCTCGCCACTCCTTCGGCCCGCGCATACCGAGCCGGCGGCTGTGGCACCTGCCCCCAAGGCGGCTGTAGTTGAGGCTACACCGCCTACTTCCAAACAGAAACTGGAGACTCCAGAGTCCTCGGGTCTCAAGGCCTCACCTCACCAGGCGAGGCCCAAAATTCGAACAGCCCGCATGTATGGGCATCTAATGCCTCCGAGGAGGCAATGGATACGTCGGTACACTTGGTGCCGAAAGAGCGGCGTGGCTCCTTGGAGCGCGCCAAGAAAACAAAAAAGCAGATAACAGGGCCTGGTGACGGCCCTATTACGTGAACTCGAACTCCCTGTCTAAACAGCCACTCGCTTTTCATACACACAGCACTATTTTACATTCACCATGAACACTCAAATTATACAATGGAACGTCAGGGGCCTTCTCAGAAACCTTGACGACATCCAAGAACTTTTACACGAACACTCACCAAAAGTGCTGTGTGTACGCGAAACACACCTTAATTCAAAACACATATTTTCTTCGTAAGTACGTTATTTTCCCAAAGGACCGTGATGATGCCATGACATCATCCAGAGGTGTTGCCATCATAGTGAATGAAGGCATAGCATGCACACACTTGAAACTCCAAACATCCCTTGAGGTAGTGACTGTTCGAGCGGTTCTTTTTGATAAACTGATCACAATCTGCACTATTTACATTCCTCCTAGCTATTAACTACAAAAACGTGATTTACACTCTTTAATTGATGAACTTCTGGAGCCTTATGTTCTCATTGGAGACTTTAATGTGCATAGCAGACTATGGTGTGATTCTCGGTGCGACGCGCGAGGTCGACTGATTAACAGTTCCTTCTCTCGTCGAGCGCGTGTCTCCTAAATCATAAAGAACCAACCTATTATAATCTCGCTAATAACACCTACTCCTCCATAGACCTAAGCACAGTATCTCCATCTCTTGTGCCTCTACTCCAACGGAAAGTCGTCAGTAATCTGTACGGAAGTGACCACTTCCCCGTAGTTTTGAGCACAACTACAGCAACCGAGTGTCCACCACGTGTTCCCAAATGGCTCATAAACAGAGCCGACTGAGAACAGTTTTACACCATCGCTCGTCTAGGTTGGAGTGACATATGTACTTTGAACATTGATGTTGCTGTCAACTACTTACAGCATTTTTGATTGATGCTGCAACAAAATGCATCCCACAAACAAATGGAAAACGGCGTGTGCTGAATGCCGAAACGTGAGCAAACAGCAAAACAGAGCATGGAGGTTGCTTCGGAACTCACCGACAGCCAAAAATCTTGACACCTTCAAGAAAATAAAGTTTCAAGGCAGGAGAACGCGTCAGCAGGCCAGAAGAGAAAGCTGGCAGAAGGTTTTGTCAGGGATCAATTCATACACACAGGAGGCTAAAGTCTGGAACATGGTCAGTAGGATAGCAGGAAAACGAGTAGACACACTTCCACTCGTTAACACTTAGGGTGATACCTTGGAAGATCAGGCAAACTTCCTCGGTGCAAACTTCGAACAGTTGTCCAGCTCATCCCACTATACTGACACTTTCCAAAAATACAGAACAAGAATAGAAAAGCAGAAACTTCAACACAAATGCACTAGATACGAGGCATATAACCAAGCTTACAGTCTAGCCGAGCTCCGAACATCTCTAAACTCCTGCAGTACTTCTGCCCCAGGTTCTGACTGTGTGATGTATGAAATGTTATTAAACCTACCAATCGAAACGCGAAAGACCTTACTTTGTACAATGCTATCTGGTTTTCTGGTGCTATCCCTACTACATGCAAAGAGGCTATTCCCATTTTGAAAGAGGGCAAGGACCCTTTTTAGCTTCGAGTTAAGGCCTATTGCACTTACAAGCTGCTTGTGCAAAGTCTTCGAAAAAATTATAAATTGCCGACTTGTACATTTCCTTGAAACAAACAATTTGCTCGAACCATTTCAGTGCGGGTTTCGAGAGAGTTGATCCACTACAGACCACCTTGTTCGTATCGAGGCACAGATGAGAGAAGCTTTTGTCCATAAACAATATTTTCTCTCTGTGTTCCTCGATATCGAAAAGGCGTATGATACAACATGGCGCTTTGGAATTCTAAGAGACCTGTCCCACCTTGGCGTGCGCGGAAGAATGTTTCACATAATCGAAAGTTGCCTGTCAAACCAGACATTCCGTGTCCGAGTGGGCAGCGTTATTTCCCAAGCATTTGTCCAGGAAACAGACGTGCCGCAAGGTAGTGTATTTAGCTGCACACTTTTTCTCATCAAAATGAATTCCTTGCGCTTGTCCATCCCTCGCAGTATGTTTTATTGTACATATGTTGATGACGTCCAGTTTGGCTTTAGATCTTGCAATCTGGCAATCTGTGAGCGGCAGGTTCAGTTAGGTTTAAACAAGACCTCCAAATGGGCAGAGGAAAACGGATTCCGACTGAACCCACAAAAAAGCACGTGTGTCTTGTTCTCCCAAAAGAGAGGCATGCACTCGGAACCCGACATTGAACTGAACGGTCAACGCCTGTCTGTTAATGCGGAACATAAATTCTTAAGCTTAATCTTGGACAACAAGTTGAACTTCGTACGGCACATCAAGTATTTAAAAACTAAATGTTTAAAAGCCATGAATGTTTTAAAAGTGTTGTCACGTACTATGCGGGGTAGTCACAGGCAATGCCTCATGAATCTGTATAGAAGCCTCATTCGCACCCGCCTAGATCATGTGGCCGTTGTTTATCAGTCTGCGACTCAAAGTGCTTTGAAGATGCTGGACCCCGTGCACCATTTGGGCATCTGCCTTTCTACGGGTGCTTTTCACACCAGCCCTGTAGAAAGCCTTATGTTGAGTCAAACGAGTGGTCGCTTCATCTGCAGAGAACTTACATGTCCTTTGTATATTTCCTTAAGGTGAAAGCAGACAAGAAGCACCCCTCATACTCTACTATTAATGATTTGTTGAGCTCCATTCTGTTTCAAAACAGGCCTTCGATGAGGCAGCCCTTCTCAGTTCGCCTGAAGGGTCTAGCTGAGGAAACTGGAGTGTCACTTGAACACAGTTTAATGGCTCCTGTAGCATACCCGCCACCGTGGCAGTGGCAGACTATAGACTGCGATGTGTCTTTTCAAGAAATTACAAAACATGCGCCTATTGCCCATATCCGAACATACTTCCTGGAATTTCAACACAAACACACACGTCCTGAGTTCCTTACAGATGCCTCCAAGTCTAACTCCTCTGTGTCCTACGCTGCTGTCGGCCCATCCTTTTCGGATGCTGGCCCTCTACATTCAGGCACAAGTATCTTCAAAGCGGAAGCTTATGCGATACTTGTGGCGGCCAAACACATCAAGCAATTACAAATACAAAAAGCAGTAATTTATACGGACTCCCTCGGTGTGATAACGGCTCTGCACACTCTTAAAAAAAAAAAACCCTGTCCGCGTCTCACTTTACTCCATTTTATGCACACACTACACACTCAAACAACATGTTGTAGTGTGCTGGGTGCCAGGGCACCGTGAGATCCAAGGCAATGTGAGGGCGGATCAGCTTGCTGCATCCGTCCACGAAAGCACTGCCACTACACCCATATCAATCCCGGCCCTTGATCTTAAGCAGTCTCTCAAACGAAACCTCGGGGACTACTGGCAGAGCAAGTGGGATAGGCACACGCAAAACAAACTACACATTATTAAGCCACGCCTTGGCCATAGGCTGCCAGTATCGAAATCGCGTCATACAGAGGTAATACTAACGACGCTCGGGATAGGACACACATACACGACACACACGTACACGACACATATCTTTTGTACGGTGGCGATCCACCACTGTGTGACAGATGTGGTCAAGCAGTAATGGTTCTTCACATGTTAATCTAGTGCAAACAGTTAGAAACTCCAAAAAACTTTCTATTACCCTACCGACAACATATACCTTTACACCCTGCAGTGTTTGTCGGTAGGGAACTGCTTTTTAGTCATAAATAATTGTTAGCATTTTTAAAGGAAATTAATAGTTTTCAAATCATATACCCGGACATTTCGTAGCACGACCTCTCCAGAGAGGTTTTCGCTGCGGTTGCTACATAACAAAGCACTTGCCTCACAACCCTTGGACGCAAAGGTATGAAGGAGTGAGGCACTTGTGCTAATGCCATACATGTCCACCATCGTTTTTTATTATCACCAACTTTTGTCATCTATTCACACCACACACACGTTCCACGGAATGGTCATGATATTATTACTTGTATGTTTTTACCCTCCTTACCGCGAGGAATTTTATGGCCCTTATACAGCCGCTTATCACAATCATTGTCCATATCTTTAGTAAGATGAACTGGCGCTCTTTGGCCGTGAAATGGCCCTTGCGCCACAAAACATCAAACACCCAGACAACACTCGACGACCTGAGGTCGTCCTCATATGGTACAAACGTCCTCGGCAGTTTCAGGACGTCCTCATTTGGTCCTCTAGTCGACACTTGCAGGATTATCCCCAAAATGCCCCTTTGAGACCTTTTTAAGGACGAAGAATTGTCCTGATATCGTCTGCTCGAGGACGTTTTGAGGATATGCATGTTTCGTAGGTGCATGCAGCTTTCGCAATTCGTGTTTGGTTAATTTTCTGGCTGTTAACGAATAAGTCCACGGGATTTCGTATGCCTACTTTCGAGTCATAATAGTAAAGTACTTCTCGATCATTAAAATGAGATAGTTACACGAGGAAGCACTTCAAGCCAACACGAGAAAGACGTGTTCTTTTATTTATTATTTATTTATTTACTTTGTAAGTGATCGTAGGCCAAACTTTCTGCCTGCACGTTTTCGTTGGTCGTGATCTACCGCCGACGTGCATACGGAATTATATCGCACTGACTGTGGTCTGACCCGTTTCCCCAATGAACGCACGTGCGGCAGACCAAGTTTGGTGCGAGTATAAACGGTGTCGGCTCCAAAATGAATGCAGGCGTGAAAACTGTGAATAGCGAGCACGTTATTCTCGAGTGTCCAGTGTTGCAATGCCGCACGGTCCCATCGAGCAGACGACAACTGACCATGCTGACGACTGGGCTGGCCTAGGTTATCGTGAATAGAGCAGCATTGGAACTAGAACGCTGTGGGAAAACGAATGGGCGACTGAAGTTGTGGTGGTGCTAACAAAAAAAAAGCAGTACCTTAATGCGGTCACCATGCGCAGTCAAGGTGCTTTTAAATCTGGATGTCTACGACACTGTTTACCCATTTTAAAGTGACGCAACTATCATCATCATCATTATGGGCCTGCAGTAAGTCAAGTCGAGTCATTGGTCGAGTCAACATTCCAATACAACACTTCTCGCCATAGAGGAAGCTTCTCGCAGAAGCCCTCAAAGAATCGTAAGCATGCCAGGTGAGTGTCTTCTGTTAAATTTTCATATTGAAGTTGTAAGCCGCAAAGGTAAATAAATAAAAAAAGAGAGGACAGTTGATTTTCAGCCTCGCGCTGTATATCTTTACTGCTTATTCATGTATGTATGTACAAACCAACTGACTAGCCTAACAACGTGTTCTGGTGGTGGGTGTTCTTTGGTCTAGCCACCATTCTACTGTGCTCTGTGCTGTTCAAGATGGCTGAGAGCGCGGATCGCAAATTTCGGCGTGAAATTAATCGGCGCGTCAATGCTAGTTTTCAGCTTATTGACAGTGAGGCCGATGTCATAAATGACACGCGGTACGTTGACCGAGATTCCCGCAACGCCGAAAGAGAGAGCGACTTGCCCTCCGAGGCTTGTGCGGTCGACCTCGAAGACGGCCATCGTCGCCTTTGTGTTCATGACAGAGAACGGCCTTCGGCACACTCCTCGATCGTTCCAGAAACGGATGTGCCCCAAGGACACGTTTTGATTTCTGGCGACGCGTGCTACCCCAGCGGCTGCAGTGTTTCTGTGCCTCACGATCACACAGACTTCGAACGGCGTGCCTTCCATGACAGCAGCGCTGCGGCTTCGACTTCGGCGACCTCGCAGGTGAGGCAGAGGGATTCTTTCGAATTGGCACCGACTGGGAGTAACGAAGAGCAAGTTTGTGAACGCGGCAGTGTGGACAGCTTGCTGGCCTTTCGTGAGAGACTGCAAGCGTGGGCCTTACAATCTCGCGCATCGCACACTTCAGTTACATCGCTCTTGAGAGTACTACAGTCCCACGAATGCTTCAGCGCGCTCCCTTCAACTGCAAGGGCATTGTTACAGACGCCCAAGAAGTGCCTGGAAGTGTTGCAGCTGGCCGGCGGGAAATACCATCATTTCGGCCTCAGTGCAGGCCTACAGCGAGTGCTGCAAGATTGTGCAGAACTACCAAGAATTTTGAAGCTTAGCTTCAACATTGACGGTCTGCCGGTTTCAAAAAGTTCACGGGGCCAATTTTGGTGCATACTGGGACGCATAAGTAATTTGGAGGACAAAGCACCATTTATAGTGGGTGTTTTTTTCGGAAGCAGCAAGCCCAACAACGCGAATGATTTTTTGCGACCATTTGTTTGTGACATAAATGCTGCTATCACAACAGGGATTACCATTGGAGAAACTGCAATTCCTGTTAGCTTGTATGCCCTCATATGTGATGCACCAGCAAAGGCATTTGTATTATATGTCAGAAGCCACACAGGCTATTACAGCTGCACCAAATGTGACGTAAAAGGTGTCTACTGTGAGGGCAGGGTGTGCTTCCCAAACGTCAATGCTCGCAAGCGAACAGATGACAGCTTTCGCTTAAAAGTCCAGGAGGAGCATCACACAGGCGAAAGTATTCTTGAGGAACTTCCTTTTGACCTAGTGAAAGATATACCATTAGATTACATGCACCTTGTGTGCTTGGGTGTCATGAACAAGCTCTTGACACTGTGGGTACGTGGCCCAAAAGTGACCAGACTTGGAAGCAAAGTGCGTCTTGAGATGTCGGAAAAAAATTCTCAAATTGCACGGTGTGTTCCATGTGATTTTAGCCGAAAGCCGAGGAGCATTGCTGAACTTGATCGGTGGAAAGCGACTGAGTTTCGCTTTTTTCTTTTATATGGAGGACCCGTTGTTTTGTCATCACTGATTCCTGCACACATGTACAAGAACTTCTTAGCTTTACATGTGGGGATCTCTGTTCTTTCCACACCAGCTGCACCTGCAAGTGAGATAGAGTATGCCGGAAACATGCTCAAGTTTTTTATCCGGACATTCATAAGCATTTATGGCAAAGAGCATGTTTCACACAATGTGCATGGCCTGTGTCATTTGGCAGATGATGTTACACACCTTGGCCCCTTGGACTCATGGAGTGCCTTCCCATTTGAAAACCATATGTCCTCGTTAAAGAGAATGCTGAGAAAGCCAGACCTTCCCTTGGAGCAACTTTGCAACAGGCTTGCTGAGCAGGCACACCGTCCTCTGAGGCATAAGAAAACTGAAAGCCATGTCGTATTTGCTGCAGAGCATGCTGACGGGCCACTTGTTGCTCCATGCCGAGGCCCCGAGTTTAAAAAAGTAACATTGCCTGGCAATGTCATTCTTAGAGCTGAAAAGAGAAATGGGTGCTGTAGGCTAAGTGATGGGTCAATCGTCGTTATTGACAATTTTGCTCATCTCCCGTGCGGTGAGCCATGCATAATTGGAAGGAAGTTCCTCAAGTGTGAAGATTTTTATTCTCTGCCATGCCCTTCCTCCATACTGGGAATTTACTCAGTGTCTCAGCCTTCTAGTCTGCGGTATTGGCCTCTGAAGAACATCTCACAGAAATGCCTGAAAGTGTATTTGAAAAGGAAAAGCATTGTTTTCCCTCTTTTGCATGCTACAGTGCACATGTAATAAACTTTCACAACTGTGTCAGAATGTATACAGAATTTGAATTTGGCTTCTCTTTCTTTTGCAAGGTCAATACGTTGTCGTTCTCTTCCCAGAAGAGGATGATACATCTGGGATCATCCTCAAAAGTTGGCTGAAAGGCGACGGCTGCCTGTGGCCTCGACAAACTAAATATGTACATAGTTTGTTGAAGGCGAAAGCGACTCCAGGGGCTGACTGGATAGAAGTGCCTTGCACTGTTGTCCGAGAATTTGGTAAATTATTCCTTATTTATGCTGTTTTACTGCACGTTTTTCAGCGATTTGGTCAGCAATGAAGTAAAAGGTATGTAATAAACTGCAATTTCAGCATTGTAACTCTAATTGCCACTTTAGATCAAAGTAACTTCTTAAAAGTTTAGATGGGTTCGAGAATATCAGGAAAAGATATCAGAAGATGGCTTCGAAGAATATCAGAAGATAGCTTCGAGAATATCAGGAAAAAAAGAACAATTATGCGAAATCAAGTATCTCATATTTTGTGAATACTTGCATGTCAGCTGTCATTGCAGCAAAATTTAAATGATCCATTTTAATATCATGGGTGACTCTTAGTACCTGCTTGGTAATGACTTATGCAAAGGAATTGGAGTTCTACTTGTTATGTGTGACAGATCTGAGAAATGATCATGCTTATCATTTAATTAGTAGTTGTTGCCCTTCTTTCTGCAGATACATATGCCGAAGCACGGGCAAATCTGCCAAGGGTAGAAAATGGATCCAACTTGGACGGCGAGGCAGAACTTGGGAAAGGCAGAAGAAAAAAAAATAAGAGATCCTATGAGTCTGAAGATGATGAAGGGGCACCATCACCTCCAGCTTCAATGATAAGACGTATAACACCATTTTTGAACTTTACGTAAAGTGAACTGCTTGTACTTATGTTTTTTAATAGTATTGAATCTTTTTACATCCTGCAATGCCTATTTTACAATGATAGCCCCACGGAATTGCTCACACTGTTTTCTGTTATCTACCGCCAAAAGTAACACTGGGTTATCTGGCTTTAGGGCTGTGAAATGCTGATTCTGGCTTGCTTTCTTAGGGAGAAAACACAAGCGACCAAGAAATTTAGAGAATCGGCCACTGCCCACCCAGCCACGGTCATTGGAACATGAAGGTGATATGCTTCTGGGATAAAATCCTGTTTTTTTTTCTTGCTATTTTATTTATCTCTCCTCTTTACAACCCCTTTTTCTACACCCCTATGCAGGGTGGCAAACTGGTTAATAACTCCATGTTAACCTCTATTTACTTTTCATTTTCCTTTCCAAAATGTCATGTCAAATAGCATATGACATGCTTCTGACCTGCGATAACTGAGAATGTCAGCACGCATTTAAGTACTCGCTTCCAACCAAGAGTTTTTGCCAAAGGGGATATTGTACGTAAACCATGCACATCAGTTTTAGAGCAGCTCTTGAACACCCGTTCTTGCATTGAGTGGGGTCGCCATGGCCATCAGTGGCCTGATGGACATGAAAAAGTAACTGATAGACACAAAAAATTAAAACTGAGAAGAGAAATACCCAGGGTCGTATCGAATTTGGACACTTGCCCTTTGCTTGGTGTTGAGTATTCCACGACAGAGTGATGCTAGCGCTTGAAATTCATTTTTTATATCATTCTCACTGCACAGATTTGTAACTTTGATTATGTTGTAGACGGAGCTGATTTCATGCAAGGTTTGCAGGTTTTCAGGAGCCATGAAGAAACAATGGAAAATTTGTCTAATCTTCACATGACTATTCTACTGTCCCATTACCCGCTGATTTTTTCTTGCCTCTGTTTTCTAACAGGGTATGCAGACAAGGCAGGGCGGCAACCACTGCAGCAGCATCGCACCACAGGCCAGGAAGGGGCTTTATGTAAGACTATGTTTGATGAACAGCTCAAAGTGCATGTGTAGAATTACATTTCAAAGCTTCACTTATGTTTCTGCAGTGACTAGATCCAATATCAGTGAAGTGCCTGCGTTCGACTCCAGTTCACCAGCAGGCATTAGGCCATCACAAAGAGCCCCTTCACCGAGAATGGCATCACCTGAGGGTCAAAATGTTTACAGAGGTTCATACAGCAACAACTGCAGACCTCTGGGTAAGTGATACAAAAGCTGCCTTCCATGGGTGTCACTTTACGTGTGAAGTCTACCTTCATATTTATTGTGTGTTATGTATGCAAGTTGTTATTTTACTTTAGGCACCAAGTTTTCCATATGCTAAGCAATATGTTTAGTCTAAAGCTATGGTAGAGCTAAATGGCATGGATGCTTCTTTTCAGTTTTGGAGCAACTTACTAACTGTAGTTGGTGTGTCAAGTGTAAATGTAGTTCCAGCCTTCTAAACTCTGGAACAACTAAAGCTTTGCATCACTTTGCAACTAAAGCTTTGCAGCAAGTGTTGATGGAAAGATGGTGGGAGCTTCGCGTAACTGGCCAAAATAACTGTCCCATCACTCTGATTCTTGTCCCTTTTCTTTTTTATGCAGACAATCTTGAAGGGCCACCATTTCAGCAGCATTACAGCAGTCAGCAAGGGGCTTCATGTAAGACGGTATTTTTGATAAAATGCTCAGGGGCTGTTTTTAGAATTGTGCAGCTTAAAAGGCTCATCTATGCTTCTGCAGGGACTGCACCCAATAATTGCCACGAGCCTGGCTTAGGCTTTCCCTCAACATCATCTATGCCTGCTCAGAGAGCAGGATATAATGAGGGGCAAAATGTCATCAGGAATTCTCCTACCAGTAGACACACACCTTCCAATTCCCCTAGCACTAGAAGCATACCTTTTGGTAAGTAACATTAGAGCTTCCTTAGATCGGCACCTATTGTGATGCAGACTACCTTTATATTCATTGTTTGGGGAATACAAAGTGTTTTTGCCTGTACGTTATAAAGGTTTGCAAGTGCTAAGCAACACGTTTCGTCTGATAGCTGCACCAGTGGTAAACAACATAGGGTGCTTATTTGCAATTTCGGAACAATGTACCAAATGTAGTTGCTTTATCAAGTGTAAATGCCTGTTGTCTCAGAAAAATTGAAGCTAAGGTGCCAGTAATTAAAGCTTTAATACATAAACAACTGTTATCACCTTTTTGGTGTACAGAACATGCCTCTTGATCGCAGTGGAAATGAGAAAACTGCGTGTCACTTCGATGGCAATGAGCACGCTTTTACCCCATAATCAAAAAAAAATATTTTTTTTTCAGTAGACAGAAATGACAGTGGCATCACTTTGTAGCAAAAACAATGGCAACTGTCACTTGTAGGAACTGTCACTTACAGAGCATGCAGACAACCTTGAAAGGCAAGTGTTGCAGCAACATAACAGTAGTCAGCAAGGCCCTTCATGTAAGAATACTTTCGATGAAATGTTCAGAGCTAGTTTTTAGAAGTGCATCTTAAAACCTTCATCTATGCTTCTGTAGGGACTGCACACAATAATACCCATGGGTCTTCATTAGGCTTCCCCTCTAGCAATAGAAGCTCACCTCCTGGTAAGTAACATTAAAGCTTTCTTACCCGGGTGCCACTTCAGAGGTGAAGACAATCTTTGTATTTATTGTCTAGGGAATACAGTTTTTTTTCTCTTTAGATTAAAATCTTTGCAAGTGCTAAGCAAAACGTTTTGTCTTATAGCTGTGCCAGTCGTAAGCAGCATAATTGCTTATTTGCAATTTCGGAACAATGTACTAACTGTAGTTGCTTTATCAAGTGTAAATACCTGATGTCTCAGAAAAATTGAAGCGAAGGTGCCACAATTAATACTTTTAATTCATAAACAACTGTTGTCGCCTATTTAGTGTAGAGAACATGCCTCTTGATCACAGTGGAAATGAGGACTGTGTGTCACTTTGATGGCGATGAGCACGCTTTTACCCCATAAATGAAGAGTTATATTTTAAACATTTTTTTTTTGCTTTCGTTGGGAAAGTGATAGTGGCATCACTTTGCTGCAAAAACTATGGCAACTGTTATATGTATGGTCTGGTCACACATTGTTTCAGTGCTTAAAACATTAAAGTATCTGTTTCTGCTTATTCTATTTTTCACAAATTCACTTAATAACCTAACTTTCAACAATTTTTCTGAACTTATTCCAAGTTTTTGTTGAAAACTAGGTTGTAAATATATGGGTACACTGAATCACAGCACGCAATGAAGGTGCTTCATCTCAGTGTCAACTCTGCATGCGTATTCAGGTCCTAAAAAGGCATCACTGAGCATGCTAACAAAATAACTGAAGCCATGTAGGCACAAATTTCTAAAACCGACAATAATGTGCAGAGAAGCCATAAACAACTGTGTGCTTGTTTTGCTGTGTTTAGTAGCACTTCTCATTTTCAATGTTATCTCAGCTTTTGCCATTTTATATGTTGCAATTCAGCGCTATTACTTCATGAACACGTCTTTACAGAATACGTGCGTCAACTCATGCGAATTTCGCAAACTATCCTGATGAGGCTAGAGCAGCTGGGACGACAGGTTGATGCCATGCAGCAGCACCTTTTCAACACAACAGTGAGGCTTCAAGATGAGACAAATGATGATGTGGTTTTGACACCGGTCAAGGATATTGACCAATTTCTAAGTCTTGAGGGGAGACTTGCTGCTGATGGCAACATTAAGCTAAAGCTTGTACGTCATTCATTATATTTTTCTATAATTTTTTTTTCTAGTCACTGCATTAAGCTACTCTTCTAAAAAAAATAATGACCTCAAAACTTTACAGATACAGCAGCTTGCTGGCCTTGGTGGCTCAACTTTTGGGGCAGCAGCCAGGAGGATGCTGGAGCTTCTGCTAAGCCTTGAGGTTGCTGTGCAGTTCAGCTGGGCAGGCCAAAAAGGCAAAAGGAAGTTTGTGGATCTAGGTGTCACAGATGTCATTTGCAGTGAGTAATTTGTTTCACAACACCATGTGCTGCAAGAGCCGTGTTTGAGTACAGACATTTCTAAGTCTGTTATCCACATTATCTTTCATTTGAAGTCAATAGCAAAAGAACAATCTTTTCATGAAAGCATTAAATTTTTTAGGATGCTTGCTAATTAAAATTATGTGCTTAAACGTGGAAAATTTTTAGCATGAAATATCTGTTGTCAGTAAGAAACCCTGCAGCTTCTTCAAGCACACTAGTATACTTGCATGGCACACATACGCAAGCATTCACTACTTGCAGAAGTTATTATCAGGTAGCACTACTAGGCATTCTTAACTGTAGTGGAAATCTTATGTACAGATGAAAACTAACAGATGGAAGCTCATAGTGATCACTGAGGATCTCTAAACAGGAATAAGTACCTAAGACAAGCTGGTCAACATTTTCATACATGGACGTATTTTCGTCAAAGGCGCCTCATCATTCTTTGCATGCTAGGTTTCAAAAAAGTTACAATGATGTCTTCTTCGTGGTGTTCTTCTTGTAATGCAACACATAGTGTCAATGTCAGTACTCTTGAAATTAACATGGGGAAGGATGGCAAGGACCTTTAATGATGATGTGCCCACCTATCAAAATGTCGATCATGCTGACTAGAGGTACTTCTTCAAACAACCTATGTAGCATTATATTAATGTATTATGTTTGTGTAATTCCTGTTTTATGAACTTTGTACTTTTTCAGAGGCCGTGAGGCGAAATTTTCCGGAAACAAAAAAAATGACATCGAGTGTGTGATTAAAGTGTGGCTTCGGCATGCTGGGGAAAAGCTCCAGAAGCAGCGCTTAAGAACTTCTCGCACTCACCATGAGGGTGAGTTTTATTATCTGTGCTGTTGAAGCTATCATAACATATGATACTTTTGCTGTTATAGTTTAAATAATTTTCTTGCCTTACTCGA